AGGGGGGAGGGGGGGGTTTAGACTTCTTATAGCAGCTTACTGAAGAGTTCTAATACCACTCTTTAAATATGAAATCTTCTCAAGTTATTTTAATCAGATGATATCTTTCTTAGTATTTTGTACCAGTTAGTACTTCCTCGGGGCAGGAAGGCATGGTGTGGAATTCATCTTTGTATAATTCATCTTTGTTTCCCACATAGTACCTGACACTTGGAAGGTGTTTAATAAGTATGTGTTGAACTGAATTAAGGGACCTTAATTTTCAAAAACACTAAGGACAATAAGATAAATCAGTAACATTTTTGGGAGGGCAAGGACTAGAGCTCTAAAACTGCTCACTTGCTGGATGCTTTAAACAACTATGCTAAGATCTAAATAGCTAAAAGGGAAAGGCATAGTCTTACCACTCTTCTTGAGAAGTTCTCCTTTTCGGGATTTATCCAGGTTTTCAAGAAACTTTTCAAAAACTTTTACGTAAGGGGCTAGACTGGTCTTCTTATAATCTAAATTATAATGACCATGCATTAAAATTAGCATTTTGGCAGCAAGAATAACATGAAAGTATAATTTTAAGTTTCTTATAAGAATTCTATACCAATGTTGTCTAATAGAAATATGAGAAACGTATAATTTTAAAGTCTAGTAGCCACATTAAAAAGGTGAAATTGACTTTATACTTTAACTCATCCCAATATTAAATATCTAAAATATTGTTTCAAAGTATAATAAAAATGGCTTTCATACTAAGTCTTTGAAATCTAGTATTTTGTACTATTACATCTCAATTTAAATGCTATACTATCATCAGAAATACTTGATCTATATTTAGATTTAAATTATAAAACATGCAATTAAAAAAGTAGGTTCATATACCCCAAATATCCAAACACACATAAAAGTTTTCTAATAATTAAATCAACCATCAGTTTTTAAATTTAAATCAATTAAAATTAAAAAATTAGCTCCTTAGTTAATACCAGCCAGATTTCAAGTGCCAATAGCCACAGGTGACTACTGTATTAGACAGTACTGCTCGAGCACATTTAACCACATGGACACATCTACTCCAGTAGTCAGGCTTTCTAGTATTAGATCAATATAATCTATTGTTATGTGGTAAGTTCCATGCAACATTTCTTTCTTTATAAAGTGTGGAGGCAGCCAATCAATGTCCCCCCCCCCCCCCCCCCCCCCCCCCCCGTTCCTCTCTTTCTCAAATCAATAAAAGCATATCCTTGAGTAAGGATTAAAAAGAAACAAAAAGAGAAACGTCAATATGAGGGCGGAACATCGACCGACTGCCTCCTGCACACCCCCTACTGGGGATCAAACCTGTAACCCAGGCATGTGCCCTGACCATGAATTGAATGAGCAATCTTTTGGTGCACGGGATCATGCCCAACCAACAAAGTCACACTGGGTGTACTAACAGGTTTATAATGTAAATATCAGCTCCCTGCCTTATTTCTGACCATCTTCTTGAATGGCAACCGATTTTTCTTTTCTAGCACCCATTTCTAACAAATGAACACTTTCATTGTTATTTAGAAATCTGAGGCCAATCCTTCTAAGAGGTCTGCTTTTGGGTGGGGCAGGGGATGAGGGAAGTAGGCTGGGGTCTGAAAGCTCTTAAGTTCTTTTCTTAATTCTCAGTGTTCTGAAATTTCAAATGATGTGCTTTGGTATAGGTCTTTTTCTTATTATGCTGAGCCCTTTTAATAAAGTACTCATTACAGGGGTGTTTTCCTATGTAATTTTGACAATTATTTCTTCCCTGTTTTATTTTTTTTGAAACTCCCATAGTCAGATAACAGACCTCCTGAAACAGTCTTCTAGTTTTAACTCCTAAAAACAATAACCATCACCACCACCGCCACCATTTTTGTATTACTTTCTGGGAAATCTTAATTATTCTTTTCCAACCTTTCCACTGAGCTTTTTTTTTTTTAATATATTTTATTGATTTTTTACAGAGAGGAAGGGAGAGAGATAGAGAGTCAGAAACATCGATGAGAGAGAAACATCGATCAGTTGCCTCCTGCACATCTCCTACTGGGGATGTGCCCGCAACCCAGGTACATGCCCTTGACCGGAATCGAACCTGGGACCCTTCAGTCCGCAGGCCGACGCTCTATCCACTGAGCCAAACCGGTTTCGGCTGAACTTTTTATTCTAAAGATTTTTTATTTCTAAGACCTCTTTCTTGTTTTATTTTTAAATTTTTTTATTTTATTGACATCAGAGAAAGAGGAAGGGAGAGAGAGATACACACATTGATTTGTTGTTCCACTTATTTATGTATTCATTCTTGGTTCTAGTATGTGCTCTGACCGGGGACTGAACCCACACCTTGGTTAGGGAAAACGCTCTAACCAACTGAGCTACATGGCCAGGGCTCTTTCTTGTTTTATGCGTGTTTCTTTTTTACAGTATTCTGATCTTACCTGATGGATGCATTATCTTCTTATTCTCTGAGATATTATTTTTAAAATTTTTACTGATTTCAGAGAGAAAGGGAGAGGGAAAGATAGAAACATCAATGATGAGAGAAAAATCATTGAACAGCTGCCTTCTGCATGCCCCATTTGGGGATTGAGCCCCGAAACCTGGGCATGTGCCCTGATCAGGAATTGAACTGTGATCTCTTGGTTCATAGGTTGACGCTCAACCACTGAACCACACCCAGCTGTGCTGAGATATTAGTGTTTTTAAAAAAGGTTTCCTTTGTTCCTTTCATTGTCTCTTTTCTCTGAGTTCCCTTTTCCTTTTCTTTGTTAATCCTCACTTGGGGATATTTTTCCATTGTATTTTAGAGAGAATGGAAAGGAAGGGAAGAGACAGAGAGAAACATCAATGTGAGAGAGACACATCGATTGGTTGTCTCCCACATGTGCCCTGACCAGGGCCAGGATCAAGCCTGCAACCAGTATGTGCCCTTGACTGGAATTGAACCTGGGACCTTTCAGTCTGCAGGCTGACGCTCTACCCACTGAGCCAAACCAGCTAGGGCTCTCTGAGTTTCTTTTTCCAGTTTACTGGTATTCTGATTTTTCAAATATTTTGAACAGAATACTTTTGTAATTACTATATAAACTTTAATAGTGGAATGTACTATGTTTAGGTATTACGTTAGAGCTGGAATAGATAAAGTGATATCTGAGCTTGGGCTTTGAAAGAAGGGTAGCAATATTTGACTAAAAAAGGTTAAACAGAGATCACAGATCTGCTCTGCCCATTATAGTAGTCTATATAAAAAGCTTATGTTCAAATGAGACTTCAACATATTAACCTACCTCTGGTTCTATGTTTGTTATCGGATTCAGCTTTGTTCTCTTTTTCTTCTTCATTAGTGGAAATAGCATCTAATTCATGGCAGATGGAGCTACAAATAACAGAATAAGAGAATTTTAAAGTTGGTTCTTGGTCAACATTACCCAGAGTATCATAGCACATGAATCTCTCAAGATTTTCTGTGAAAAAATCATGTGGCCAACTAATTTGGGATATTCTAAAAGCCATAATCTCTTCTCAGAGTTTTACATGCATATCAGCATATTAAAGACTGGAAAATCTTTTTTTTTTTTTTTAAATAATTAAAAGAGCAGATACTTAATGTCACTCATTCTCCATCATGAATAACTCCACAGGTTGAGAGGCAGGAAAATGTTGAAGTAATGCAACCAATCCAACCACTGAATAGGCTGGCTAAAACTGGCACAAACTCCAAATTACTTTTGCATACACTGTCCCCCCTGCCTGGCCATGAGCACAGTCAGGCAAGGTCTACGGGTATGCCCAAGACTGGGAAATCTTGCAGTACAGAACTTTTAATCTGTTTAAGTCAGCATTTCTCAAACTTATTTGAACTTAAAAATCTTTTTCTTTTTTTCAAATTATAAGAGAAAGTCTATTTAGAAAGTTACAGAGATAGTAAAAGTGAGCTAGCTGGGCTGTGTAGGCTTAGGAAACAAGTTACAGAGACAGAAGAAGGGCCCTTAGAGCTTAGTAATAACATACCTGGGGGAAGATGAAGGGGAAGGGGAAGGTGCCAGTGTGCTCCTGAGAGGGAGAGCACACTTTTTCTTGCATAACAGCAGCTGAAAAACTAGTGCTCTGTGGAACTCACTAGGAAATGTTGCTCTACTAGGGCATCATCATATAGCCTCAGAGCGGCTGACTCTCTGGCAGGGATCTAATCCAATCTACTTCAAATTCAGAACAACAATCACAAACAGAAAAGTGATCAATGATCTGGAACATACCTTATGGTTGGAACAGTAAACGGATCAAACTGATCCACTTTCTGTAAATCAATAGGCACTGAAATTCGACCTGTAAGAACCAAAAGTTATAAATGAATGATTGTGAATACAAATCATTATAGGCTGTTTTGGCTAAAATTTTAATTAGAAAGTTGAAATTTAGAAAAAGGGTTAGACTTATCTTTAAATACAGTAGAAATACAATTTAAAAGTACTTTCATATTAGCTGTGTCTTTTATTTTTCTTAAAAACACCACCAAAACATAGGTGTGAAAGACTGTTAAGCTATTACCTAGGTGCTCTTATCTATACCTTTATTTCTATCTCCCTTTTCCTAATATCCTTCTATATTTAAGTAGAGAATAATCTCAAATTGAGTAAATCTTGAAAATTGAAATGAAATAGATGGAAAGAGTTCATTTTATTACCTTAGTTTATGTGCTGAGATCAAAACAGACACCTATATGTTAGGCATCTTGAGAAAGCATTTTGGAAATAAAACAGACATTATACTACCCTTTTATAATATTCACACCTGGGACACTACATAAAATTTGTCACACCTCAAAAATTAGATAATGAATGTAAAGAATGCCAGGTGAATAACAAATAGAATAATTAGAAGAATTGAGAGTTGATATTAAAGACAGAGTAAAAAGACTGCAGCTAGTTAATGGGAAAAGGATATAATTAAAATGTATTCACTTATTAATGGACACAATTATTTACCCGGACCTTGAATATTAGAATAAGGGGATATCCAGTGAAGCTTTAGAATTAAGCTTAAAATTTAAGCTTATTACTAAAAGAAGCTAAAAACATAGTTGACAGGTTTGAAAAAGGGCTACATAAACGTATGGACTAGTTATTAAGGGAAACTAGGCAATTTGGGAGAACTGACTATGTGACAGTTTTCTAAGTGCTTTATATTTTAGATGGTCACAATAACCCACTGAGGTAAGTACTATCATTATCTCCATTTTACAGATGAGAAAACCAAGGCACACAGAGTAATTTCCATAACATCCCACACCCAGTGGCAGAGTTGGATTGCTGACACCAAAAAGGACAACTATATACTTTTCTAATGGATGGAGTAAAGTTATTCCAATATAGCCACTTTATACTTTAAAGTCAGTTTCAGTCCATCAAATCTTATCTAAGAGAAATGTGAAAGAGAAAAGCTAAAACTATTGAAAAACTACTGAGGGAGGCAGCATGGTGGAAAAAGCATAGAACTTTTGAGTTTTCAGAAATGAACTCTGTTCCTAGCTCTAAAACAATTTGTTTTTAGACTGTGGACAAGTCACTTTAACTTCTTGGGCCACTGTTTCCTCATCTGTACAATGAGAACTATTGTCCTGTAATTTCTAAGTTCCTTTCCAACTCTAATTCTAACACTGAACCACAGAAACGCAACTGAATATGTAAACTCATCCAGTAGCTACTAATCAACAATTAAAAAAATAAGTGAGCTCAGCTGGTTTGGGTCAGTGGCTGAGCATTGACCTATGAACCAGTAGATCACGGTTGGATTCTTGGTCAGTGCACATGCTCATGTTGCAGGCTCAGTCCCCAGTAGGGAATGTGCAGGAGGCGGCCGATCAATGGTTCTCTCTTATCATTGATGTTTCTGTCTTTCTCTCCCTTCCTCTCTGATATTAAAAAAAAAAAAGTTAACTTAGGTATTAACTGACAGAACAAGGCCTCAATCTTTAATATGTCAGGCATCATATGTATTCACACCTAGTGGCATGCTTGCTAAAACAAAAAAAGTAACTTTCATTTCTTTTTTAGTTCCCCTTATTTTCTTTTCATAGTACCTGTTTTAGGATGAACACTAAAAGGGCTCTTCAGCAAATGATTGATTCCTTTGCTAACATTGATATCCAGCCGTGGAAAACAGTACTGGAGCATGATCTCCCACACAAGCAACTGTCCACTTCTGTCATTCTAAAAGGAGATGCAAGTCCAGCATGAGGATCAGTAGGAACTTTTGAGGATTTCTTTCAAAGTGGTTAAAAGGTGATCTCCAATCATCTTTAACTTAAATGGCAAAAGAATCAGAGTTTAAGAATTATATTATATTTATAATACAGATTTCCATGTTGTATACCGGATATATGGCCTTTTTCTTCAAATGCTCCCAACGCTGAAGTGAACTGTGAGGCTTTTGGAAGATTTCTTGAAGGCCATCATGCATTGGTGATGGGTCATTAAGGAACATCCTCATTTAGGGCACATCAACAAACAACTTATTTTCTGTATGTATTACCACAAGAATATCTAGTTTAGATAGAAAATAATTCTTGTTTTCTAAAATGCAACTATTAAACACTAAAAAGTAACCCTGTAAAAATAAAGTGGTGATATGACAGAAAGAATGTCAAAATAACTATATAGGTTAATTAAAATCTTTCCCTGGTCTGTACATATTTTGACTTAATGATTCAGCATTCTTTAAATAACCATTAATCCTAGGACTACCAACTTCCATAAAGAGGAAATTTGTTTATGAAATGGCCTCATGTCTTATTGTATTCCTTAGTGGAGATACAAAAATGTAGAAATACAGGAGATGTTTTGTATAAAAAAGATTAAACGTATAAGTATATGAGAAAAACATTAGAAAGATTGTAAAAAAAAAAGATTAAGTACATGAGAATATGCAGGCAGAACACATATATAATATCAATACAAGGAGCTCACAAAGAAATGGTCTTGGGAAAGGATATTGTCAGGAATAAGAGCTAAAATCTTATCACAGCTTTCTTTACTTCCAAGAATATCTTGATCAACCAAGGCATATTCTTCAAAGTATTTACTTATTATGTTTATAGATTTTCTGTAGGAATAACAATAACAAAGTCTCAATACTACTAGCAACACATACCCCACAATAACTTTTGTTGCTATTTAGACTGAATTTCTAGAACTTAACTAGGTAAAATGGGACTAATACCCTTCTCACAGTTATGAGAGTTAAGTCTAAGGGGAAAGAACCTAGCATAGTGCCTGGCTTAGAAGAAATATTCAAGAAATGTTTACTTCTGAAACTCCACAGCTTAGCAGGTTAACCACATCATAAATACAGGAGTGTGCAAAGGTAAGTTTACAGTTATAAGTACAAGAAAAAGTTTATTCTTGTATTACATATATTTCCATACGAACAACTGTATACCTACTTTTGTCCACCTCTGTATATAACAAGGATAGAAAGCAACCAATTCAGGACAACATTATACATCAGTAGTAGAATGTGGGATAGTCTACAGTTTCTACTCTGAATTGCTTGTTTTAACACCTCAGCAATTATATAGTGCTTAGCAATCTGCAAATAGAGTTCACATCTACTGTTTCATTTAATTTTTGCCACAACTCTAAGACAGATGGAGCAGATATTATTCTCCCCATTATACAGATAAGGAAGTAGAGGCTCTAGTATTTTGTTGAGGTCAGAGTAATTGTCAGCATACAGACCTTACTCCTAATGCAATGCTTTTTCCACTGTCCTAGAGAAGTAGTGAATTCAATGGAAGAAGTATGGGTATGGTATCAAGCAAATTATATAATCCCTCCAAATCTCACTTTGTTAAGTGGAGATACCATCATATCCCTCATGGGGTTGTTGGGAAAACCAATGAGAACACTTGAAAAGTACCTACCTATCATAAATATGTAGCACACAAGGGACACTGAATTAATTCTAGCTATTATTGTAAAATGCTACCCAGCAGAGAAAATTGGTAAGGTGTATAGAGCAAGAACAGAGCCAACTTTTTGGACAGCTTTGACAATCCAACATGGAGTCACTGTCAGCCATGACAGTGATGTCAAGTGCTAAGCCAAGACTGAGGTAATGGGGTGTAATGGGAACACCTTTATGAAGGGACTGGAACGCCCAAAACCACCAGTCTGGATGGATAAGGACTCCACATGGACACTGCTATTAGTGGGATCATCACAGTGGTGGGCTATAAGAACTCCGAGCTCCAACCTCCCAAGGCTGGAGGCCAGCTGTACCCCGGGTAACACTCAGAGCCCACTCCACCGGCTGCGTGCTGCCACTCTAGCTGCCTGGCTTGAGACCGACACCCATCTCTCCACGTGCGGATGCTGCCAGTGACTAGGACTTGCCTGAGGAATACTCACTCTGTTGGTTTCTGTCAGGTAAGCTCTTCCTTTCTATGTGAACCTGCATGGGACTCTACCGGCTTATTAGGAGGTCTCCCCTGATAAACCTGGCACTTGTGGAAGCCAAACATGTGTGAGTGACTCCTTTCGGGGATGCTTCCTTGCTCAGGACACAATGTACTACAAGCATTGCAGGTAAAGCAGACACAACTTAAACTGCATGGAGTCTTTTCCAACAGACCTGACAAAGGGGTGAATTTTTTCACTTAGGTGAACTTTCTTTTTAACATCTTGACCACCCTGAAAAATAAACCATCAAAAAAGACCTTTATGTATATTATATAACATAAGTGAAATAATTAAAATATTTCTATAATGTGTTCTAAAGATATTGATTAAATTGTGTAAAATAGAAAAGCTTATATGCTATTTTATATAGTTTCAATACCTATAACTTTCTGGGTTAACTTTACTTGACTTAATTGAACAAGAAAAGTAAACTATTAGTCTTTCTTTTGCAACAAAGGAGGATATTTAAAACAAAATATGAAATATCTTTAAAAAATATAGCACTATGATTTTGATTGATCTACTAGTAAGATCACCTACTCTGGAAAGTGGATGCTATAAAAGATAGTTTAATTTCTTTAACTAAACATACTATGCTTGGTAACATCCAGCAAAAAAATAAATGCAAATTATCATTAAGAAGAGCTTACCTTTACAAGACTCAAATATTCAACTATCCCAGACCGTACTGCGGAGGACAGTTTTCTAACCGAGTCATCACAGACCCAACAATGAACACCTCTTCTTCCAGAATATACCCAGAGGCGATGCTTAAATCCAAAGTCCTCTGAGGAGGGGAGACATAACAGGTTTTAAAACAAATGTATAAACTCCTGGTTCTTTCTTACTTCCTATTTTCATTTTTTACCTCTTGTCCACATGAACTCACTTTAACTATACTAAACTATTTGTAGTTTCCCATCCCCTTCTCCCCCATGCTCTTGCTTTTGACTATCTATCCTGGTCTTTGACAAGAATTTCCTCTTGCCCCAGCACTTCCATTTCTCTCCCTTAAAGACCCAGTCGAGGGATATTAAAGGAGTTAATAATTTTTTTTTTTTGCAAATGACTTAAAAAAATTTTTTTTTATTGATGTTAGAGAGGAAGGGAGAGGGAGAGAGATAGAAACATCAATGATGAGAGAGAATCATTGATTGGCTGCCTCCTGCACGCCCCCTACTGGAGATGGAGCCTGCAACCCAGGCATGTGCCCTTGGCCGGAATCGAACCTGGGACCCTTCAGTCTGCGGGCCGACGCTCTATCCATTGAGCCAAACCAGCTAAGGCAGGAGTTAATAAATTTAAAGGGCTTTGAACAATGCCTGGCACATAATAAGACCCTATTTTATTATCATTCTTTCTTTTATTTTTAATCCATACCCAAGGATATTTTTTCCATCGATTTTTAGATAGTGGAAAGGAAGGGAAGAGATAGATACGGAGAAACATCGATGTAAAAGAGACACAACATTTGGTTGCCTCCTGCATGCGCCCCTGACTGGGTCCAGAATCAAACCTGGGACCCTTTAGTGTGCAGGCTGATGCTCCAACCAGTGAGCCAAACTGTCTAGGGCCCCACTGATTTTTTTTTTTAGAGTGTGGAAGGGGGCAAGGTTGGAGAGAGGGGAGGGAGACATCAATGTGAGAGACACATCAATTGGTTGCCTCTCACAAGGGCCCTGACCAGGGCTGGGGATCGAACCTGCAACCGAGGTATGTGCCCTTGACCGGGAATTGAACCCGAGACCCTTTGGTGTGCAGGCTGACACTCTAACCACTGAGGAACACTGGCCAGAGCTTTGTTATCATTCTTATTATCACCTCTTCTGGGAAGCCTTTTCTGATCCAATCTCTTCCCATTCGTATATCCACTCCTGCTGTCCTATATTCCCAAATGTAATCCTCAGTTTTCTTATTTGTCTCCTTTTTAGACTGTGTAACCTACTTGAGGTAAGAATTGTTCTTTCATATTTCCCTCATGTAGGACAGCACCTAGCACATAGAGTTGCTCAACAGATAATTGAATTGGGAAAAAACTCACTGGTTTGATCACAGCTTTTTTTTTTTTTTTTTTAATATATTTTATTGATTTTTTACAGAGAGGAAGGGAGAGAGATAGAGAGTTAGAAACATCGATTCGAGAGAAACATCGATCAGCTGCCTCCTGCACATCTCCCACTGGGGATGTGCCCACAACCCAGGTACATGCCCTTGACCGGAATCGAACCCGGGACCCTTGAGTCCGCAGGCCGACGCTCTATCCACTGAGCCAAACCGGTTTCGGCTGATCACAGCTTTAATAGAGTTTCAACTCTAACTTTATTATAATCTTTTATTTTCCAATTACATGTTTTAAGGAAACATGTTAAAAATTTATGGGATTTGATTATAACATGGTATTATTTAGAGGAAAAGAGATTCTTACATTTGACCCCACTCAGACACTGCTGATACTTGCCCTTCAATGCTCGGTCAATGATGCGTATGGCCATTGTCATGAGGGTCCAGCACTTAGAACATATGTCTGCAGAACTGGAGGAGAGTCATCGTTAGAGTGTGGAAGGGGGCAAGGTTGGAGAGAGGGGAGGGAGACATCAGTGGTCAATGATATCACCCACTCTACCAACAAAGCCTGCGGTGCTTACCTACAGCATCTCCTCACATCATCATAGTCTGTCATGTCGATGTCAAACACCAGTTCTTTTTCCTGAGCCTGGAAAGCTCCCAGCTTCACTGTATTATGTTGATTGGGCTAAAAGTACAAAATATCAATCAGTTTCTGTAAGAGCTGCCATGCTGCCAAATATGCTTGAAAAAGTGACCAAAGAAAAGTGAGAAACCATATAATGCCAAGCTTATGTCAGTTCATTAATTCAGATCCTATACATCCAGAATTGACGAGTGTAACTTTCATCTACTTAAAGCAGGGTTTGGTAAATACATATTATCATCAAATTTTCCCCCCTAGTTCTACTGAGATATAATTAACATTTGATATTGTATAATAAATATTTCACCAATAGAAATAATAATAAAGCCTTTCTAGGTTTCTGATAAGGAAAAGTACCTATAATTAATGCCCTATTGCAAGGTGTTCTTTTTCTTTAATTGAGATTTTATCCTTTTATTTCATTTACTTATTTTTAATATATTTTTATTGATTTCAGAGAGGAAGGGAGAGTAAGAGAGAAACATCAATGATGAGAGAGAATCATTGATCGGCTGCCTCCTGCACACCCCCTAATGGGAATCGAGCCTACAACCAGGGCATGTGTCCTTGACCGGAATCGAACCTGGGACCCTTCAGTCCACAGGCCGGCGCTCTATCCACCAAGCCAAACCGACTAAAACTCAAGGTGTTCTTAAGGATCTTTATTTGTTGCTGGACATATAAATAACAAAAATGTATTTTAAACTTTTCATTAATTCAAAAAAATTTCCCCAATTAGTTTGAACTGAGTCTTTGGCTCAGGCTGTAAGTAGTCTCCTTTGAGGTTATGGGTTATCAGATAAAGAAGACCGACAATACAGACACTTATTTTGATCCGTCCAAACCTGCATGAAAATGATAAAGTTTTTTTTTCTTTTAGAAAGGCACAATAAGCCTTTAGAAAAAAAACAGAGAGGGGACAATATCACCATCATTTTTTTTCAGAGCGGAAGGGAGAGGGAGAGGGAGATGGAAACATCAATGATGAGCGAGAATCATTAATTGGCTGCCTCCTACACGCCCTCTACTGGAATGGGCCCTGACCAGGAATTGAACCATGACCTCCAGCTTCATAGGTCAATGCTCAACTGTGGAGCCACTCCAGCTGGGCAATACTACCATGGTTTTTATAAGGAGACCCATAAAAACTGAATCTTAAGCTCTCAGTAAGGAAAGGTAAGGAAAGTTAACTCTCTCCTTTGATCTTGGTCTATCTCGTGTCTTTTACGTTTCTCTATTTTTGTCGTTATTAGTATTAATCCTCACCTGAAGACATGTTTTTATTCATTTTAGAGAGGGAAAGAGAAACATTGATGTGAGAGTGGAAAGAAGATAGAGAGAGAGAAACATCAATGATGAGAATCATTAATGGACTACCTCCTGCACGCCCCCTACTCAGGCATGTGCCCTTGACGGGAATCGAACCAGACTCTTCAGTCCACAGGCCGATGCTCTATCCACTGAGCCAAACTGGCTAGGGCATGCTTGCTGGCCTTTTTTCACATGTCTTCTCTTCTTCCTCTGGGATTTATAGTCAGAAAACCTGGGTTCAGGTCCCCACTCTATCATTTAGAAATTGTGTGACCTAGGAAAAAATTATTTGAGTTCTCAAGGCCTGTTTTCTCCTTTGTAAAAAGAACAGTGAGAATGTCTATGAAAAACAAATTATACATCTGAAAAAGTTCCATACAAAATCTATTATCCCATGTGTGTATTTTTCCTCCATGTGTGCATTTTTAAGGAGAGGAAGAAGGGCAATTTTGGTATGTTCATTCATTGAACAAATGTGTACAGTGTAGCCCTAGCTGGTTTGGCTCAGTGGATAGAGCGTGTGCCTGAGGACTGAAGGGTTCCAGGTTCAATTCTGGCCAAGGGCACGTGCCTGGGTTATGGGCTCGATCCTCAGTTGGGGAAAAGGTGATCGGTGATTCTCTCTCATCACTGATATTTCTATATCTCTACCTCTCCCTTCCTCTCTGAAATCAATAAAAATATATTTAAAAAAATATATGTACGGTGTACTCTCTCCACCAGGCACTATTTCAGTGGCAGGGGGACAGGAGAGATGGCAGGCTGCAATAGGCCTTACTGAGTAAGGACTTGAAGGAAGTGAGGGAATGAACCAAGATATTTGGGGAAATAGGTTCTAGAAAGTGAAACTTCTTGAGCAAGGGCAGTGTGGCAGGGGTGGGGTGAGTGACAGGGAGAGAGGGGCTTTTACTCTGAGTGAAATGGGTAGCCACTGGAGAATGGTTTTGAGCAGAGGGATCACAGGATCTGACTTTTTAAAGGATCACTCTGACTGCTGTACTAAGACTAGACTCTAGAGCAGTAGGTTCCCAACCTCTTTTTGGCCATGCCCCACCTAAAATCCTGATGCCCCCCCACCCCATGACATAAAATTCTTATTATTCAAAAAGTGAACATCTATTCACGTGGAGGAAGCCTAAAAGGCCATTAACTTAGTCTAAAAAAGCTTCCAAAGAATGTGGTATCCACGAAAGAGAAAAATAAAAGAACGACAGGACAGTTGAAATACTGAGGAACAAATCACTAAGAAATTGTTAAAAACAAAACAAAACAAAGTGACATGAAAAAATAGCAAAGTTTTAAGAATTGAAATGCATAAACATGTCACAATATATATACTGTATCTGAGGCCCCTAGAACCATAAGAAATGCAAAAAATTCACTGTTAATAATTCATTCTCGAATTGCCCCCCTAACAATCAAATTGCCCCCCTGTGGGGTATGTGCTCCACGATGGGAACCACTGGTCTAGAGTCTACAGGAGCAAATTGTTAGGAAGTTTTTACAGTCATTCAGATGAGAGATGATGATGATGGTAGTAGCACTGGTAGCACTAGTTGGATGTTAGGTATTATTATGGTAGAGAATTCCTAATACAAAGGATGCAGGGGTGCGAGGGGAATGAAGAATAACTCCAATGCTGGGAGAGAATGTAACTCTCTTTTAATACCCTTCCTTAAACCATGCTGATTTCCACATTTAGTCTTTCGGCCAGATACTCAATTTTTTTTTGGTCCTAGTGAGAATACAACCAGTTCACATACAAAGTATTTCCAGTCAGTAATGAACAGTATCAAAGAACAAAAATTGCAATCAAGAAGGAACTCTTGCCATTTGCAACAGCATGGATGGACATGGAGAGCATAATGCTAAGCGAAATAAGCCAGTCAGAGAAAGATAAATATCACATGATCTCACTCATTTGTGGAATATAATGAACAACATAAACTGATGAACTAAAACAGATCCAGAGACAGAGAAGCAGCGATCAGACTGTCAGACCTCAGAGGGAAGGCAGGGGAGGGTGGGGGTAATGGGGAGAGATCAACCAAAGGACTTGCATGCATGCATATAAGCCTAACCAATGGACACGGACAACGAGGGGGGTGGGGGTTTGTGGGGGGATGAGGTCACATATGTAATACCTTAATCAATAAAGAAATTAAAGATTGAAAAAAAAAATAAAGGGGAACCTTTTGCCTTGACATAAAAGAGTTGCAATCAACTTGTAAAAATAGTTAAATAAGTGCTGCTCTTCTAATAGAATAAATTATAAAAATGTAATCACAAAACGCTGGGGGTTCTTGGTGCTTTTAAAAAACCCACAATATACATAAGACCCGAATTCCTTACTCTGTGGGAATATACCGCTCCTATATCAATCTTGTATGGATTCATTTTCTGCATCTCCTTTTCCAGATCACTCTGGTTGTTGAAGGATTGGTAGCGAATGTAAATGTCATCTTTCAACGTGAATGAAAATTCACGGTGTTGGAAGTAATTCTTTATCACTGCAAATACATGTACATTTTAAAGTTAATTTGGTAATTTGAATAAGCCCTTTGTGCCCAGCACTGTGCTACAAGTAAAAAAAAAGCCAAGACCTCGTCTCTCATTTGAAGGGGCTTATTACCACACGGCATCTCATAGGGAAAAGTAAAAAAGAGAAAAACGATGCAGAAATATTTTAAATATATACCGCCCCCTCTGTCTCCTCGGTGGGCACTGGTACATCCTCCCGCGACCAGTTAAGTGCCTCTCCTCCTCCAGGAGGTGCCCCTCCCACCCCGATGCAGCTCATGCCTCTGCGACTTCATTCTACGACCCGATACTGCCCCTTGCTCGGCTCAGGCGCCGAAGGTGGGTCCGGCCACGCAGTGGTAGGAGCGGCGGCTCTGCCTTTGAGAGTGGCCGCAGGCTGGTCATGAAATCCTCTCTCGGCCCCTTTACATTTCAGCGGTGGTGGTGTGGGGGCTCGAGATAATGCCTGGGCACTACATCTGGACAGGCGACAGGACCCTCCCCGAACCCCTTCACATTCCCTCCCCGACCTGCTACCACCCGCTCCCCGCCGCCATCACCTCCGCCATAGTTGAGCCAGCGGTAGTACTGGGCGTAGGGAAAGAGCCTCCGGTAATAAAGCTTAAGCAGCTCGGGCAAATCGGCTGGGTCAAACGCCTCCATGGCGCGCGCTACTCAGCTCCGGCAGGATTCTGCAAGAATTGGCGGGAACCACACAAGCGCCTCCCCCACTGCGCCGGCGCAGCGTGGCCGCGGCCCGCCGTTTGCAGGGGTTGCTGGGAATTGTAGTTGCCACCTGGGAGGTTGGCCTGTGGCGTGGGCGGCGCTCCCGGTGTCCCCGCCTACCCGCTTCCACAAAGGGTTCTCAGGTGCACGGAGGAAGGCCGCGCCCATTCCAAGGAGTTGGTCTGCGGAAAGGTGAGCCCAGGAGCATATTGACTTAGGTTATAATGAAGGAGTAAAAAAGATGTTCGCTAATTTATGAATATTATAGAAAGAATACATTTAAACAATGTGAAGCAGTATCTTTTAGAGGGTTTGGATATTAGTTCTTCATAGGATTACGGGGTCCAATAGGTGGGAAAATTTCTCAACCAAATGGGAAAAGCAAAGGCTATTTATTCAGAGCTTGCTATATCGCCAGGGAGTCAGCTGCTGTCACTTGCATTTTGGCACCGCCTAAAAGGCAGGCAGAGGAGAGGGAGAGCTTTATGGTGGAAAAAGGTTTCAGGTGTGCACTGATTCAAGGCTATTTGTATGGGGAAGATGTAGGTGGGCTAACTAGAAGTGGGGCATCCTATGTGATTTGGTTTATAGGTGCCTATTGGCTTTTTTTTTTCCTGGTTGGTCCTAAGTTAGAAGTGGAGACAAAAATTAGGGAAGTTGCCAGTTATTAATCAGCTTCTGGCCAATTTGGGCCAGTTGTTATAGGGATTATTGTTTGGCTTCCTGGACTGGCACTAGAGACAGGGGTCTGATTTATAGCAGGCTGGCTTCCTGGGCTATGTATTATAGAAAGGAGGGTCGGTTTCCTGGGTACGCTTCTGCAAGTTGTGGGTCAGAGTTCTGTTTTTATTTATTTATTTATTTTTTAAAAAATATATTTTATTGATTTTTTACAGAGAGGAAGGGAGAGGGATAGAAACTTAGAAACATCGATCAGCTGCCTCCTGCACACCTCCTACTGGGGATGTGCCCGCAACCAAGGTACATGCCCTTGACCGGAATCGAACCTGGGACCCTTCAGTCCGCAGGCCGACGCTCTATCCACTGAACCAAACTGGTTAGGGCCAGAGTTCTGTTTTTAAACATGGTCTGGCTATTGTTTATTTGTATATTCAGTCTCTCAAATAGAACACCCAGGAATACTAAAACTGGAATTAGAGGAAGCTTGCAGAATCATGGAGAGCTTGACAAGACGAAAGGAGCCTGTGTGCTCCAGATCTGCAGATCTGTCAGTCAGTCTTGCCTGGTCTCCTCCTTGCAAACGTGGACTGTGGGTGGGCAGTCTGATAGTAATCATTATCGTGTTACTTTAAAACCATCATTTTCATGAATTTTATCTTATTTGTTTTTAAAAAATATTTTTGTTGATTTCAGGGAGGAAGGGAGAGGGAGAGAGAGAGAGAAACATCAATGATGAGAATCATTGATTGGCTGTCTCCTGCGCCCCCACACTGGGGATGGAGTTCACAACCTGGGCATGTGCCCTGACCGGAAATCGAACCATGACCTGGTTCATAGTCGACAGTCAACCACTGAGCCACGCCGGCTGGGCATGAATTTTATTTTTATAATAATAGTAGGAGAGCAAGGAGGGAATAGTCTGTAGTAAGTTATTATTAACCTAATCTTGAAAATGGTCCCTCAGCTCCTGTGGGCAGTGTGGTTAAAAATGGGCTCTGGGAAGATCATACTTATTTGAATATTCCTAGAAATCTGGCTTCCTGCACAAATCTTATTTGATTTTCACAATCCCTATGCATTCCGTTTTGGGTAGGGTAAATTTAATTGCTGGGAAGGTTTTCACTATAACAAGATGCACCCGCCCCCCGGAGAGTGTTTCCAGAACCACATTACCCTGGACTTTTTAATGGAGGTTTCTGAGCTTTCTCATTGCTGCCTTTAGGAACTGCTTCTTTGGGCCATTTGGGAGTCCCCTATTTACATTTCAGGAATACTAGGGAGTGCAACATCTTAAGGAGCTAATACATAAGGGAAGAAAACAAAGGTAGTTATATTTATTGAGTTCCTACTGTATGCTCACTTTATTCAACATCAGTTCTCATCAGGAAAAGGAAAAATAAAGGCTAAATTCACTTAGCATTTGTTATGCCAAGAAGTACCATTTTAACACCTTATTCCCCATAAGAATATGGACAAATATCCCTATTTTACAGATAGGGAAATATGTAGAGAACTTAAAGTAATATGTCAGAGGTCACACAGCTAGTAAGTGGGAGTCAGACAGCCTGGCTCCAGAGTCTGTGCGCTTACCTCTTAAGCTGCATGCCATGTCTCCTCTACAAGGGGTTGTTGTGAGGGTTAAATGGGATAAAGGTGCCTGGCACAGTTCATAGTCCAGAACCACTCAATGTGAGAAAGCTATTATTTGGTAAAAGTTCTCTGGTATAGAGGCTTTTATCCCAAGTGCCACTGAGAGGCAGTATTGCCATTCATTTAGTTCCCTTTGTGCCCTCTCCACATAGGTGCAAAACCCCTTTGTCTGAGCCTTCTTCCGTTTTCTACCATCCTCTTTACATTTACTACTTATGTCTACTATCATCCTCTTTGGGTAATCTATCAGCCTAGGTCTCTCTCCCCAAGTTCTTTGCAGACTTGGACCCCACCTATGGACTTCCCTTCCAGTTCAACTCCTATTGTTATTCTGGATGTTTTTAGCATGTGAAAGGATGATCTCTTCTCTAAATAGATAGTTCATTTGGTCATTATTTATTTTTTATTTTTATTATTGATTAGAGAGAGGAAGGGGGAAAAGGAGAGAGAGAGAGAGAGAGAGAGAGAGAGAGAGAGAGAAATGCCGATTCTTGTTCCAATTATTTATGTATTCATTGGTTGCTTCTTGTATGTGCCCTGACCTGCAACCTTGGTGTATTAGGGCAACACTCTAACCAACTGAGCTACACAGCCAGGGCCCATTCAGTCATCCTTTAACTCAAGCATTTATTCCATTTATTTCTGGGGAGAAAAAATTAATGGCATGATTTCTGCTTCCAAAAAAGTTATAGTTTGTAGAGCCAATAGACACAAATAAAAAAGTGTGATGAAGTGTTATGGATTCATTCATAACCCAACTGTTTGTTGGCATCAGCATTTTCCTTAAGACTTGGATAAAATTGGTACAGGGAACATAGTCACAAAAGTGTAAATGGCATGGCACTTTCAGGACACTGCCAAGAGTTTCATATGGACAGAGCTCAGACTTCAAGGGAAGGCATAGCTGAGAGGTGGGCTAAGAGGCAAGCCATGGCCAGAACATTTCATTTCCAAGGAGTGTGGAAATAAAAATTATTCATCTTTCATTTTTTTCAGGTTTGGTTAAAATTGAAATAAAATATTGATAATATTAATATTTGATAAAAGCCTTGGGAGTAAATAATCTTGTTGAAACAAGTACTCCTGTTGAGAATTTGCAGTACTCCTGTGCTAGTTATTTCCCTCCCCAATAAGATAGGAAAGAGAAGATTAGAGAATAAGTTTTGTTGACACAAGAGCATAATTAACAGGGAGACTATCTAAGTGGGGCCCATGCCATATTTATGTTTAATCATGTTAGGTTCTGTCTCTTATTATCATAAATTACTGAAAAGTAATAAAGAGCACCATCATATTTTTTAGTTTGATCTCATAGGAATGTTTCTTTTAAGTACAGAGCAAATGATCACCTCAAGTCTATAAAACATGTATTATAGTACATTGCAATTGTTCTTCAATCTATATAATGAATTTGACATATGAAATTAAATTTTTTTTCAACCTGAGTTATTAATGAACCCACCAGATTTTTGCTAAGTTACCTGCCAATATACATATCGTATAGATTCTCTTGTTAGTCATAAAGTGACATACTCTTTGGGGCTAGCTTTTTCCTTGCAGACTGCTTAAAATAAAGGATGGCAGATTTGCTCTGGCCTGTGTGGCTCAATTGGTTGGAGTCATGTCTCATACAACGAATGGTTTTGGGTTCAGTTCCCCGTCAGGACACATACTCGGGTTGTGGGTTTGATCCCTAGTCCCCATTGGGGTTTGTGTGGAAGGCAACTCATGGATGTTTCTCTCACATCTATGTCTCTCTCTCTCTCTCTCTCTCTTACAATCAATAAAAATAAATAAATTTTAAAAAATGGAGTCAGGAGGCTAGAACAGAGACTCCTCTCTCCTTACAATCAATAAAAATAAATAAATTTTAAAAAATGGAGTCAGGAGGCTAGAACAGAGAACTCACACACCTGTCACCAACAAACTACTGACCCCAACAGGAAGAAAATTACCTTGCCTCTTCCACAGGAAGTAATACTACATTACTACCTCAGCAGAAGGAAGCTTATGCCTTGCTCAGTAACAGCTCTGCTAATGGGAGACTGTCATAATTCAGCCGATGAAAAGTCACTATACTTTGAACTTTCGGTTACAACAGTCCCTCCGAAGTCCATAAAAGAGCATTCCTATCCTTTGTTTTTCTGGACTTAACACATTTCACCATCAGCCTGCATGTCCCAAATAGCAATTCTTTGTTGTTCTGAAATAAACCCATTTTGCTCGAGAAATACCTGGCTATTTGTTCAAGGTCAACAGTTGTATGGTATGGGGGTGTAAATTATGTCTCAATAAAGCTGTTAGTAACATCCTTAAGTCTGGCTGCAGGGTTCAAGGCACAAAGCAGCTGTAGCTCTTTTGGAGAGGCGCGCCAGCATTACCGCTGAGAACCTCAGTTTGTAGCAGCTGATCTCAGGTTGGCAGTTTGAGAAGGCTCTGCTAAAATTAGCCTGCCTTCCCCTGCCCCCAGCCAGCAGGGGTTTTGCACACTAGTATTCCAACTTAAATCAGAGGATGGGGCTGAAGTAAACAGTAGAAGATCATAACTCATGCATTGTGATTATGGAGGTGATTTCTAGGTAATTTCAAAAGTCATTAAAATAGATTAACCAGGCAGCACTATGTGGATGAAAAGGAAAGAGACTGACAACATA